TTTGTTTTTTATTATGGAGATGCCCAATTCACAAAGGTAATAATAATAATAATAATAATAATAATAATAATAATAAAATGAACCTTTGGAGATCCATCTCTGATCCTCAACAACTGCTACATTTTGCCAATCTTATTTTAGCACGCCAGAGGATTTTTTTTCTTCTGAGTGCTGGAGATAATCCTAGGGCATTCACAAGAATGAGTCATCCTGGGGCAAGCACTGTACCAGTGAACTGCAGCCCCAGCCCCTGGGATGAATCTGAATTCATGGCAGGGTCTTCCTTCTTCCTACCCACCCCACTGCTTTGGACGGAAAAAGATTGGAAAATTGACTTATGTGCATAATTTAGAACTTTATCTATTTTGTACTTTTAAGAGAGTGGACAGTGAGATTTGTGGATATATTTCCTGGGGAATTGGTGAATTTGTACCTTTGGAAAAGTGTACCTTAGCTTTGATCACCTCGCCCAATTTCAGGCTCAACTTGTAAGTTGCTCAGTGAGCAAGTTACTCAAGCTCCAGGGGAGCAGGAGGCAGGGTTTGGCTGTGAGAGAACACAGGGGTAAGGAAGCTTCCAGGCCTGGGTTGGACTCCCTTCCAGTCTCCTTCCCCAGGGCTTTTTGTTGTTATTGTTATTATTATTATCTTTTTTGTTTTATTTTTGTAGGTGTTACTGGAGTTGCAGAAAGAGTTGCTAGACTACAGAGGAGTTGGCATTAGTGTTCTTGGTAAGATTTGCATGTGGATTTTGTGAATGCTCAAGTTTCAATGGGAACTAGTTTAAATGAACTGAGCCTAAATTTCTCCTGGATTTTCCCATAATCTTTGTAGTACTTTTTTTTTTGGTAATGGGGATTGAATTACTTTGCACCTTGCAAGGTAGGTGGTGGAACTGCTGAGCTAAATCCCTAGCTCATTTTTAAATTTTAATAACTTGGTTGTCTGTTTGCTAGCAGTGCTTCTAAAAACAGCCTAAGTGCTGGTGAGAGGATTAAGACATTCCGGTGAACTGTTTTGTGATTGATTTTGTTAATCACAGGAACTGGGGTCACAAGATAATCCATACATTCACATCACAGTGCCACTAAACATAATATTGCTTCACGATGAACTTAGAGTTTTTATTGTACGTAAATACAAACTTATTAAAGTTTAAAAGTATATAACCCTCCTGACCTTGCTGTGAATAATTTTATTGTTGAATTTCTCTTCCTTCTATTTGTGGGACATATAGAAGAATATTGGACCTTTGAGTTCTACAGTCTATTATTTATTTATTTATTTATTTATCTTTTTTTGGTACCGCCGATCCAACTTGGGTCCTTGAGCTTGCTAGGCAGGTGGTGGAACTGCTGAGCTAAATCCCTGGCCCCTACAGTTTCTTTTTTAAATTTAAATTTCTTTTTGGGAGAAAGTGCCAAAGACTGAGATATTAAGAGAATGTAGAATTAAGTATATTCTTCTTTTGTCACATTTTTTCCTGTGGGTTTGTTGCATATATTTGCATTTCTGTGAAGTGAAATCCCATTGTGGAAATCAACAGTATGAAGAAGACTCACAGGCAAGCCAAGATAAATTAGTAGGTGGCTTGCTTATTGAATGTGACAGTTTAAAAATCATTCTGGAGTGACTAAGATAAAAATGTTTGTAATTTAAAAAATCAATTTGGGCTGTCCCCTATGTAACTGAGTGTGGGCGCACAATTTGAATGAAAAATAACTGAAAATTTCTTTGTGTTGTTTCGTTGTACATTTTATAAATCCTTATGTTTACTTAGTTTTGAAATAAAGCTATTTTTGTTTTTTATCTTCTGCAGAAATGAGTCACAGATCATCAGATTTTGGCAAGATTGTTGGCAGCACAGAGAATCTGGTGCGAGAATTGTTGTAAGTGTAAAAAAAAAAGACCAAATTGTGTTACTTTTGTTTGGTACTCCATAAATTTGAGTGTCTGTTGTATTGTTTCTTATGTTCTGTTCAGAATATTCATAAGTAAAAATTAGCCAAGTTACTCTCAAATTCCCTATTACTACATAATGCCTTTTTTTTTTTTGGTACCACGGATTGAACTCTGGACCTTGCGCTTGTGAGGCAGGTGGCAGAACCACTGAGCTAAATCCCCAGTCCCTCATGATGCTGCTTAATGTATTACGCAGTCCATTTTTGTGTGCTATTATGTTTATGTAGTATGTCCAAAGACGAGAAATCATTGTATTAAGGAAAGATTTTTTTAGAATTGGAGTAGCTAAACTGGCTTGAAAGGGATTTACATGACACAGAAATGGTCAGCTCTGTCAGCATAATTAACTGTAATCTAGTTTGGGGGTCTTCAAGGTATGGGGCTATTACTACCTGTCAGAATCTGTTCATGGGGGCAGATATTAAAATTCAAGGCCCACCCACGTTTGCGTAATTGGAATGTCGGGAGAAACTTTATTTCCAATGTTTTCTCTGGATAATATTAAGAATTCTGGACTCTAGGCTCTGCTGTTTAAATGAGACCTCTGTGGTTATCTGCCCTGCCTTCCCTGCCTTGTTCTTAGGGTACCTTATTCTTAAATAGATTGCTGTTGAAATCGCTATTAAATGGATTGCTGCTGTTTTACTTGTTACATAAATATAGTTACAGGTACATAAGAATATGGTAACTTTCAAAACACTTCCCCCTTTTTTGCTCATAAAAATAATGCATGTTTACGGTTGAAAGTTCAGAAAATGGCTGCAACTTCAGAAATTATAATAATGTTATCTGTAACCCCACCACTCAGAGATAATCATTAATATTTTAGGGACTATCCTTGCATCATTGTATGAACAAAATTGGAATTGTTCAGATTTTTGTGTAACTTTTCTTTCTAAAATACCTTGGTAAGGGAAGTAGCTGGGGCTGGTTTGGAGATACTGTGGGAAGTAAGAGACTGTTGCGTTGCTGGGTGTTCACAGCCGATGGTGACCTGCTTGGTTGGTCATGTTGAGTCTGTGCACTGGGTCCCATGTCATATTCAAGGAATAAGGCTGTTCTTGGAGAGGATTTTTTTTGGGGGGGTACCAGGGATTGAACTCTGGTCCTTATGCTTGCGAGGCAGGTGTCCGAACCACTGAACTAAATCCCCGGCCCTTGGAGAGGATATTTGAAACCTTGGCCTGAAAGATGTAGCATAGACCGCCTGGCCCCGAGTGTCTTCAGACTGGGACTCAGTCTGTTTTTTGGCTCCGTCCTTCTAATCAAGTTTTCCTTATATCCCCATATCTAGGTCTCTGGTTTCCACCCAGCCAGCTTTCCTCAATTCTGCTACATCTGAAAAAAAAAGCCTGGAACCTTGCATTGTCCATTCCCCCAGCTGCTAAGAACTCGTGTGTAGAGTCTTCTGAGCTCTACCTGCCTGCTTCGCTGCCCTGCTGAGCCCTGAGTGTCAGCCAGGCACAGTTTAGAGCAAATTGTTGGCAAGCCGTCTATTCCCAAAGACCCTCCCATGCTACTATGCCTGTTACTATTTATGCGTCTGCTGTTGCTCAATCCTCCTGGCTGTTGGCCTTCAGTATACCAGTTCCTAAACTTTTACTGCTGTGTGACTTGGTTTCACTTTCCATGGCGCTGGCCTTCTAGACCGGGCCTTATTCTACTGCCTGTACCATTCTATTCACCATCTTAATTTTGTTATCAGGGATTTTCCTTTATCTCCTGGCTTGGCTTGTTTTCTTTTCTTTTTTCTTTTTTTTTTCCCCTCAGAATTGGGGCTTGAATCTTTGTGGCTCTGTTGCTACATCTTCAGAGCTTTCATTTTTTGAGACAGTGTGCCACCAAGTTGCTTAGTTGCCCAGGCTGGGTTTGAACTTGGAGTCATTCTGCCTCAGCTTCCTAGAGTGCTGGGATTATAAGCCATATACCACCATGCTTGGCTCTGGCTGTGCTTTCTTAAGTGTTAACTTTGCCAGATGGCCACCTGTGGTTACAGAACTTGCTTTTCCAGACTTACCTGAGAAGTTTGAGCAGGTCCCAGAACCTAATCCCATGGGCCAGCTAGGTCATGTGCTTACCTCGAGCTGGGGCTAGCCACGTTGATGGACTCAGTGTCCTGGGGATGATTTTGTAAAGGAACAGGAGAGTGTTGTTGTCAGGAAGATGAGGTGCTTCTGTTAGACAGTAACTTTAGGCTTCCACTGTAGCCCTTGATAAACAGTTGGTCAAGGAAGGCATACATAAATAACTAGATTGGGGTAGACAGAGTAGTTGTGAGAATTTCTTATCATTTGCCCAAGGTAAAGCACTTGCTAAGATACCACTTTTTCTTCATCCATTGAGTCTGTATTGTTTCTTTTTAATTTTTAACTTTTATTTTTTCATTGTTTATTGGTACATTTTAGGTATACAGTACAGTTATATTCATCATTAGGATCTTGTACCTTTACATGATGTATCTTGGTTCTCATTTTTTCCCAATTTCCCTGCCCTCCCTTTAACCAATATGTATTTATTGTTAACCTGTGCTCCTGCCTAGAGCTGTGCCAGACAACTACAAGGTGATTTTTGTGCAAGGAGGTGGATGTGGCCAGTTCAGTGCTGTTCCCTTGAACCTGATTGGCCTGAAAGCTGGAAGGTGTGCTGACTATGTGGTAACAGGAGCATGGTCAGCTAAGGCTGCAGAAGAAGCTAAGAAGTTTGGAACTGTTAGTATCGTCCACCCTAAACTTGGGAGTTATACCAGTAAGTTCTGGGATCTGGGCAACGCAGATCTGACTGGTGGGCTTCCCTTGCCTGGGGCAGTCGCTCTTCTTACTGCTTTCCTCCCTTTGTCAGTACTCAGCTGAACGCCATTTGGATTGGGTGGCTTTAGTAGTGGAACACTCCTAACTAGCTTCTGCAGAAAAGAGGCACACTTACTGAAGAGCCAAGGGCTGGATTTGGATTCAGCTATGGCTTACTCAGGGGCCCCGACAGCGCCTCCAGGTCTGGTGACTTCCTGTGTCCTACAGTCTGGAAAAGCTGTCCCTCCCCCTTTCTGGGAGATGGCTGCAGCTGCTCCTTTGCTTCTATTATCCCAGGTTTCATTGCCTTTGCTGGGGCCTTCTTGGACAGTCTCATGGGCCTGGTGTGAATCAGTCAGTGTGGCTGCACCTGAGTCCCATTCTGCCTCTGAGGCTGTGGGTTTGATCGGTGCCCTGGAGATGTGGGCTGAAAAGGGATGAGGGCTGGGTCTCAGGAAGAAATCACTAGACTCTGAGTGGGCATAGGTGGATGCATGCTGGGGGAAAGGAATGAACCTCAGCTATACTGTATGCCATTTTTAGAGGTTATTTGTGCCCAGTACATTCAAGGGTGTGAACAGTCATCCTCTAGGTTGTTGGTGGCAATGGTCGTGGAACAGAAGGTGCTTTTTCACTCCTGAATGCTTTGGAGTCAGTCTTGCTGTAGGGGAACTGCTGAGTCTCCATCTACATAAGAAAAACTCCAGTCAAAAGGCAGAGTTTGAAACATGTCTTCTTTGATAGAAATTCCAGACCCAGGCACCTGGACCCTCAACCCGGACGCCTCCTATGTGTATTTCTGCGCAAATGAGACCGTGCATGGTGTAGAGTTTGATTTCATCCCTGATGTCAAGGGTGCAGTCCTCGTCTGTGACATGTCCTCCAACTTCCTGTCCAGGCCAGTGGATGTTTCCAAGGTAGAGTGTAAATGAGGCTGACTTGGTGTCTTCAGGGGCATGGGAGTCTGGGGCTAGCAGAACCCCCAAAGCCAGGGTAGACATCAGTGAGCAGTATGATGGTTGCTTGTCATTAGCTGTGTGGAGGTTTAAATCTTGCCATTCCCAGATCCTGGGCTACACTCAAGTTCTGCCTTTGAGAATGAAATTTAGAAACTTTTTGGAGTCTCTTGTTCTTTCCAAGGGCAGATGCCATTTATCCCAGCCCAGGGTATCTATGTGAAGTGCTTTAGGCACCTGGACGCAAAAGGCATCTACAGGAGGGTAGACTTCAGTATCTTTCAGTTGTCTCTTTGTATAAATATAAGAATTTTGTGTAAATAGATTTTTGATTTTTTAAGATAGTTTTAATTTTTAAAAAATTTAAAAACTTAAAATATTTTGCTAATTTTATTTATTTATTTATTTATTTATTGGTTTTTTGAGACAGGGTCTCACTATGTAGTTGAGACTGACCTGGAACTCACTATGTAGCCCACGCTGGTCTCCAGCTCATGGTGATCCTCCTGCCTCAGCCTCCCGAGTGCTGGGATTACAGGTGTGCGCTGCCACGCCTGGCCACTTTTGCTAATTTTAAATATTCACATATGTTAATATTAATTTTAAAAATGTAAGCAATTTAGCATTTTTGCCATTTGAAAATTATAAAAATATTAAAAAATAAGTAAATTTTCTAGATTGCAAAATTGTGCTTCTTCTCTTGGTTGCCAAGGATACTTAAAGGTTCTATTTTATTTGATTTCGTTTTGTTTTTTCCTGTGGGTTATTCCTAGGCCCTTCACACTAAGCTACATCCCCTGTTTTCATTTTTTATTGGAGATGGAATCTCAATAAGTCACTAAGTTGCCCGGGCTGGGGTTGAACTTTTGATCCTCTGGCCTCAGCCTCCTAGAGTCCTGCTGTTCTAGGTATGTGCCATCGTGACCAGCTCAGAGGGCCTCTTCACTGTTTTATTTTTGTGGTGTTGGAGTTGTATGCGGACCATACACTGAGCTACACCCCAGGAAGCAGCTTGAATTTGAGGGCTGGTTTGGCTGGAGAGTGGAGGCTTTTGAGAATGTGAATGTGTCCAAGGCCGGTGTGGTGCTGGCTTGGGTACCCCTTGAAGGCCTTGCTGGGTGCTGATGTATACTGATTTGCTGGCCCAGGTGCACACTTCCTAAGCATGAATAGAGTCATTTCCCTATAATAAGTGGTAATTTGCAAAGAGTTAGAAAGTTTGCATGCACTGATGAAAATGACCATGAATGTTTGTAATCGTATAACTTTCTCTGTTTAAGTTTGGCGTGATTTTTGCTGGTGCTCAGAAGAATGTTGGCTGTGCTGGGGTCACAGTGGTGATTGTCCGCGATGACCTGCTGGGGTTTGCCCTCAGGGAGTGCCCTTCAGTCCTGGAGTACAAAACACAGGCCTCGAGCAGCTCTCTGTACAACACGCCTCCATGTTTCAGGTAACTGTCAGATGCAGTGCTGTGGACCCGCTCTGGGAGCCTCAGTACTTCCCATCCAAGGGGTGGTGACTTCTTAAAGTTCAACACCTTCCGTGAATGGTCACCTAAGGGCCGAACAGGCTCTGCCCAGCTCCCCTCCCTTCTTGACCCTCTCCCTGTTTGATCAGTTTTTCTTCTGTCCTTTGATTTTGGAGAGTGTGTTGCTTTTTGGATCTTGGCAGTTCAGGCTCTGGTGGTTCATCGTTAACCCAGAGCTCTCTGTAGATGAAATCCTGTGGCCTGCACCACAGACAACCAGTGTGTGTTCTCAGAAGGCCTTCCAAAGCCCTATGGCTTTCACTTTTTTTCCTGCTGGGCCTGTGCGAGCTGACTGCCTGACAGCACCAGCTTGTAATACCTTCCTTATTTTTCTCCCTCGGTACTGGGAATTGAACTCAGGACCTTGCGTGTGTGAAGCAGGCACAGTGCCACTGAGCTAAATCCTCAGTGCACACCTTCCTTTCTGAAGCCCGGTCCTGGTAGTTCAGCTATCGGTGCTTTCAAGTGCTTCAGGGAGAGCAGGCTGGCCCTGCTTCACAATTTCAGCTCCCAGACTCATGTGCTGGGGAAATCTTCATGATTTAACCACTGTGTGAGAAAGTTTGCTCAGTAGCTCTATGACCTCGGGGAAGTCCCTGAACCAGCAGGTCCCTCTGGAAGTGACAGTAGTAGTACCCATCTCCTGGGGTACTGTGAGGACTCGGTCAGTTGGTACGTACTTTGTACATAGTGAATACCTAGCAGTTGGTGATTTATAAATGTTAACAGCTTTCTTTTTATTGTCCTTAGTTCCCAAAGACTCAGCAGGGGTGGACGCAGATGAAGAGTTAAGAGTTTATGCATTTATCTTCATAGGTACCTAAGATGTAAGGGTATGGGTAGGGACCCCATGTATCCAGCCACTCTAGGGCTCAGGTACTGTGCTTCTTACTCCCATATTGCAAGCAAGGAGCCGAGGTCATGTTTTCGGAAGTGACATTGCTGGGATCTGGGCCCTGGCAGTGCATTGCGATGCTGGAGCTTGGGTGTGTACACTCAGACCCAGTGCTCTTCACAGCAGAATGTTCGGTGTGCGTTTGTTAGCAGAGTTCCATCTCAGGAAAAAGATGCTTGTGGAAGTCCAGTTCTATGGCTCAGTTGGGTTTTTGTCTGGAAGTTTTCTTCCAGGCTGGCGTCAGGCCAGTATAGTGAATGGTTTCATCTGGGTCTTGACTTTGTCAGAGCTTTCTCCACCCTAGGTGCTTCCTCTAGACCATGTTTCTCAAGCTGTCGCTTGCTGTAAGAAAGGAGTTTTTCCAGAGTTAGCATTCCAGTGGAGATTTTTAAGTGGCTCCTCATTGTGTGACGCCCCCTTTCCTCAGGAGGAAGGTGTTGTGGGCCTGACTGTCTCGGTCACTTATAACAATGCCCTGTTTCTAAAGTGAGTGATAGTGGCGTGGGCTTGAATTCAGTCACCTGTTCCCCAGGCATGAGGTTCTAGGCAGCAGGGAAACACCAGTGGCCACTGGGCAACTTTGGAACAGAACTAGGCAGGCTGGAGGTGACTACTGCTGGGACCTAAAGTGCAGGGTGCAGGCCTTCACAGGGCAGAAGGGAGGAGGTGGCCTCCTTACCCCATAGAAGGTGGGGCCAGGACGTTCTCACGGGTGCTGAGTGGATGCGGTAAGTCAAGGCCACTACCACCTTCAGAAATGAGAGGGTGGGAGGAGACAGGGAAAAAGGCCTGTCCCCCAAGGCCAGCAAGTTCTGACCGGGGCTTAGCCCAGGCTGGAAGGTGGCATGGGCGCCAGGGTGAAACATGTACTCTCTGTACTTCTCCAAGAATTACCTTGAAACATGTTTTTCAAAAGTATGCTGATGAGCACGTTAATGTGCTATTAGAATTAGGTGAAAAACACTTAATGGGAACAGTGGGAAAGCAGACCAGATGTGTTTTGGGAGGTGAAAATGGCTGGAGATGTGGAAAGAGAGAGTGACTGCCCTGTTGGCCTCCCCTTATCCCAGCCCTTGGCCTGATCTTGACCCTTTAGCTGCTCCACGGGGGAGACAAGAACCCCTTCCCTAGGGCTTTGCTGCCCCAGGAGGGGGCTGAGTCAGAAGCAAGGGCTGAAAAGGGGCAGCGTTTTTTTTCCCCTGCACATTTTAGAACACCTTAGGGTAAGTCCGGATGCGTAATGGTATGATTAGAACTGGTCATGTGGAGAAGAGATGCCACATTGAAAGAATTCTGACCCCAAGGTGCCCCTGGAGGTTGCTTTTCTTTGTTTTACTCCCAAAGACAGAAGTACCTAATTTTGTGTATATTAGGAATACTCAGGAACTGATGACTCGGAAGATGACTTGGACTAGAGTTTGATGACAGAACTTAAACATTCACAACACTGCAGAGTCCCGAAGTGAGAGCCATCTCCACATAACAGACATCAGGATTTATGCATAAGTGCCCTCCCTGGTCCTGTGTAAGGCTGGTGAGGCCCCTGGAACTCCTTTCCAGGACTTTGTCACCACTAGGTAGATAAGGGCTGAAGTTTGAACTGATGCCTGTGGTTTTGTTCTGTTTTTGTCAGAGCTGGAAAGACTGCAGGCCCTGGCAACTTTGTTTTAACTGTGCTGGGTAAACTAGGCTGCAAATAGTTGCTCTGTAGCCCTGAGCAATGCACTGGAGTAGAATAAAGGGCCACAGTCGTCCTCTAACACTTCATGTGGGTGTGCTGAAGCTAATTAATTAGTAGAGGAAACGATGCCTGAATGTCCCTTCTAACCCCACAAAACATTTTTACTTACCATGACTAACTGAACCCAAAGCATAAATCTGTTTTAGCTGCAGAACTTAGCTGCATTTTTAATCTAGTTATTTTTGTTTTAATGAAAATACGAAACGAATAAACGAATACATTGTTAATCCTGTCACCTTTCTTAGCAGAATGGGAGGTGCCAGGTGGAGCCGGTGGATCCTCCAAAGGGCTTAGCTCTCCCCACACTGCCTTCCCCAGCTGGGGTGGGAGAAGCCCAGAGTCTTGGAACTACAGAGGGTGGGAAAAACTGCAACTCAGTTTTCACTTTCATCAGGTCCTCCCTCACAAAATTGTGTCTGCAGCCTCTAGTCCAGATCTCAGCTCTAGAGTCTGAATGTTTCCATCAGCGGTGGAGGAGTTCCCAGGACTTCCTGGTGTACTTTTCTTTCTCTTTTTTTTTTTGGTACTGGGGATCGAACTCCGGTCCTTGCCCTTGCGAGGCAGACGCTGGAACCACTAAGCTAAATCCCCAGCTCTCTGGTGTGCTTTTCTAAGCTGGTCACACAGCAAATGGTTTATATTGCTTTAAAAAATTTATTAAAGTAACATAAACGTGTAAGATTTTCACATGAATAGAGTCACCAGTGTGTTCACTCTAACTGCTTGCTATGTACCCTAAAAAGATCTTAACTCGCTATAATACACTTACCTTTTGGTGTCTCCAGGCTCTGTCCTAGGACCTTTGTGGGTAATAATTAGCAGATGCTCAAGTCCCCTGTAGAAAATTGTGTAAAATTGGTCATGGTCGCACATTCCTGAAACCTCAGGGCTCTGTGGGGCTGAGGCAAGACCTGGATTTTAAGCTTGAGCCCAGCCTGGGCAACTTAGAGATTTAGTCTTCAAAAAAAGTGTAGAGCCGGGGATTTAGCTCAGTGGTTCTACTGCCTGCCTCGCAAGCACAAGGACCTGAGTTCGATCCCAGGTACCAAAAATAAATAAATAAATAAATCAGTAAATAAAGTGTAGTTTTTGCGCATATCACACATATCCACCTGCACACTTTAAGTCATCTTCAGATTATACACTGTTTAGTCCAGTGTAATGTTATGAAAATAATTGTTATGCTATACTGTATAGGGAATGATGACAAGAAGAAAAGTCTGCATGTTCGGTACAGATGCATTTTTTGCCCCAAATGTTTTCTGTCTGAGATGAGTTAAATCCACGGATGCTGAAGGTACAGCTGTCGAGGGCGAGCTGCGTGGAGAGCCATGTGTTTAATTGCACACATGGAGCTCTTGTGTGAATTCCCTTTTTCCACCCAGCATACTTCAGTGTGAACTCATGTTTAGCATTTTTTCCTTTCCTTTTAATAGCTATATGGAATTCTGGATAACTGTTGCGCTGTGATTTAAACATTTGACAGGCAGGCTTAGATGGCAAACCTGTGTGTTTGTGGGTGGCATTTTAGTAGGGTTCTTTTTTGGTGCCAGTGATTGAACTCAGGTCCTTGTGCTTGTGAGGTAGGCAGCAGAACCACTGAGCCAAATCCCTGACCCTCGGGTGGCATTTTAGAAGGGGAGGCACAGACCTATTAAAAGCAGTAGTGGGCTGAATTGAGACCAAGTTGCAAAGCCGCATAGGCATTATAAGATCATGCGGTTCCAAAATTTTCGATTGTAGAGGGTCAAAGCATGAGTTAAGAATGAATTGGAGGGATCGGGAATGTAGCTCAGTAGTTCTGCCGCCTGCCTTGCAAGCAGAAGGACTTGAGTTCGATCCCCGGTACCAAAAAAAAAGAGAATGAATTGGACTCTGGTGTGAAAGGTTAAAAATGTAAATAAGGATCAAAATGTATAATTGACAATGTGAAATAGGAAGAAAATGTCTAAAGGATTAGGGGAAGTGGGAGGGATGGGGAAAGGAAATAAGGGAAAAGAAAAAACACGAAGGGAAAAACATGGAAATAAAATCTTTGCAAGTAGGGAAGCGGGGAGGGGGTGCAGGGAGGGCAGGGGAATGGGGAAAAATAAGAACCAAGATAAAGTAAAGGTACACGACCCCAGTGATGAATGTAACTGTACTGTATACCTAAAATGTACCAATAAGAAAAACTGAATTGGAAGCCAAAAGCGCCTCGTGGTGAGCAGTCACGGGCCACAGATCAGGGCTGTGCAAGGAGCTGGGGAAGGTGGGGCAGGACCTTCCGCTTCAGACAGACTCCCGCCTCCAGGACAGCGGCTTCCTTCTGACCTAGCTGCCCATTGATGAGGCTTTGTAGATTGGACACTGGCTGCTGGTAGAGGTGGCTGGGCTTGGCGGCTGTCACTGAGGCTTGGGGACAGCCCAGCTGCCCTGTTAGCAGATGAGCCAGTGGTGGAAGCTGGAAGCCTTTGGCTGAACACGTGGCTCTGGGACTGGTGAGAAGAGCTTGGGTGATGGAGTCAGCCCTGCTACGGGTGGAATCCTGGCTTTGTGGGCCACTTGCTAGATGACCTCAGGGAAGTAAAGCTCTCTGAACCTGTTTCCTAAGCTGTAAAGATGATACCGATGGCTCTGATCTTAGGATCATGTAATCAGTAAAAATAGATGGAGGCTACAGTAGACTTTGGTGAGGTTCATTTCTTTGTGTTTCTCCTCTTCCTTTGTCCCCTGGCTTCTCAGTCTTTAGCCTGGGAGCCCCAGCTAAAGCCTTTTCCTGCTTCTTCCTCTTGCCTCTATCAGTAATTGGCTGCTGTTGCCTTTTCCTCCCAGGGTTTCCTGGGGAGTCAAGCAGCAGAAACTTCTGGAGAGGTTATTGGGTGCTTTGGGGCTGGCTGTTCTCTCCCAAGGCCCCTCTGGACAGCCTACTCTTGGCTCTTCCTGCCTTCTGGGGTGGAAACTCTGGGCCCTTGGCCTACCCATTGGAGTTGGTGAATGAGCTAGTGCATATAAGGTCCTCCTTGGGACAAGCCTCTAGCTGTTAGAGCGTTTTCCAGACAGGTAATTTCCTTGAACACTCTGTCATGATGTGAGTAGATGGAAGGTATTGGTAAATGAGGCAGCCGGGCTAGGGTACTCCTACCTCAAAACTTAGCTGAGCGCACAGACTTCCATTAAATTGTTTGCACAATTCCCATAGAGGACCTTTGTCCTACACTTTCTGGAGGAAACATAGTAGAGGCTGACTACTTCCAGACTCCCAACTCAAGAATGGAGGCTGGGAGTAGCTCAGTGGTGGAGCACTTGTCTAGTATGCTTGAAGTCCCTGGTTAAAAGAAGGGTTGTGGTGGGGAGGATGGGGGTCTCATTTGCAGGAGACCTGCTTTCTGTGAGGAACACACAGCCCTACAGAAGCTTAACTACTTAACAGTTTACCCAAGTGTCACTTAGGCAGTGTGCTTGTTTGCATACTGTTGGGACAGGCATCATTTCAATGAACTAATTCCTGTTTGCACCAGATTCACTCGTACATCTGTTTTATAGCAACTTTTTTGTGTACTTTTTATTTAGAACATCGCATTCCCCTTTGATGCTTGTTTCTAGTGAAATCTAATAGTTCTGTTATTTTCTTTTACTAATTTGTGTTAATTTTGTGAAAAATAACCTGTAATTTTGTGCTACAATCTGTAAATCTTGTAAGTGTATTAGATATACTTTTTATGCTTCTCCAGAACTAAGTGATATTCTTTTATAATACAGAATGGTGACACATTGGGACACTGAGACTGAAAAGGAAGGGAGCCGAAAGATGTGCAAAAGAAAAAACTGAGAAAGGCAGAAATGTTAGTAGAGTCTGTGTTAGGAAATTGAAAGCCAAAAATATTGTCAACCATATGTGAACTGTTCATAATACAGAAATGATAGAACTTGAAAGAAGAAAAGAAACAAAAAATTCCAGTAGTGGACAGCGATTCTAATAATTCTTTGGTTAATGTTCACAGAGTTAACCAACATCTAACAAGCTATCCTATAATCAAAAAATGAGGTAAAATATTTTATAAAATACATATGCACCGTCTGGACCAAACAGTATGGAACTCCTTCGCTGTGTATTCAAAACAAAGGGGTTCAAAAAATCCTTTACCATTTAGATTAGATCTAACCAAATAATTGAAAAAAAAATGGGTAGCGAAAACACCAACCAGGATGTCCATTGCTGATGTCTTCACCATTATTTTTAGTGAGTGGACATTTTATTGAAATAATACCACCCACAGAATAAAAGGAAAGGGTAGTATGACAGCATAAAATATGTTGTTTAAAGAAAGAATGCAAAAAGAATTCAGAAACAGACTACAGCCTACTGTCCAGATTGTAATGCTGCATTGTGTGTTGAATGTCTTAAGATATACAGTACCATACACAGAAAAGTTACTGAATAAATTTAATAAAATTGTTTTTATATTTCTTGTTATCTTACAAAGATTAACCAAAAATATACAATTTTTGCAGTCCCGTGTTTAAATAATTCAACTGGTAGGTGGTTAAATATTACGTGGCTTTTCTCTTACATGAGAAACCCAAATAAATAAAAGCTAGGTAGTAGGAAGTAGGGAGGGAAATCTTTCTCAATTGGGAAGGGGCTCAAGATGGGGAGCGGGGGAAGGGAAAACGTCTGAAAAAAAGATTGGGATGTGTTATGTATGCTTATAGACTCCGTACAAAGAATGTAAACATGTATTAAAGACGTATTTAAAAGCAAAGACGGGCATTCAGAAGATTGCTGGGGAGGGCTGGGGATTTAGCTCAGTGGCACTGAAGTGAAGAGTTACTGCTGGGTAGAGTTGAGGAGGTGAGCTTTGGTGATGTTGGGGATTGGGTGGTGTGGTCCAGGGGTCACGGGGAGTTTGTGTTAGGGTGCGGGCTAGGCAGAGGGGACTGATGACACTCCACCGAGGTGCCCTTATAAGCCTCGTGGAGTGGCCCTCAGGGTCTGGGTTGACCCTTGTCCTTGCTTTGTGACATTCTCTTGTTTACATGTGACCTGCTTTTTATTTGTCTTTTGTAAAGTTGAACTAAACAGATGTTTGTTTTCATCTCTATTTTAGCATCTATGTCATGGGCCTGGTCTTGGAGTGGATTAAGAACAATGGCGGGGCAGCAAACATGGAGAAGCTTAGCTCCATCAAATCCAAGATGATTTACGACATTATCGATAGATCTCAAGGATTCTACGTGTAAGTCAATGGATTTCATCTCACATTTTGACTATTGTAAATTGAAAACTATACCTTTTAAAGAGTGAGCATATTTTACCTTTCTCTATGACACTGATGTACTACTGGTGTTCATGGGTGGGTGGTCTCGCACCCCTGAGCATGGGAGTGGAATTCTTGCCTGATGCTCTCCACCCCAGGAATCCGAGACTTTGGGACCTGAGACTCTGAGGAAAAGTCTCAGTTGGATCCCCCGGGTAGATTCCTCCGTACTCCTTCCACTGTGTGTCACTAGGAAGAACATTTATCAGGGACGAGACTTCATGATGTGTATGTGTGCTGTGTGCAGTGTGTGTGTTTATACATACAGTTAGATACACGTCTTTACTCAGTTCCCAGTCCAAGCCAGGGCCCTCTTTTTCTTTTTCTGTCTTAAATGCTATGTTTTCTAAGCTGGCCTGGAAGTCCTGGGCTCAAGTGACACTCCTGCCTTAGCTTCCTGAGAGTTGGAACTATAGGCATGCACCACATGGTTTAGGACCCCCTACCCCCCCCCCCTGGCTTGCTTTTTTTTTTTTTTGTCTACTTGGAATTGAACCCAGGGAGTGCTGAGCTACATCTTCAGCCTTTTTCATTTTTTTGAAACAGGGTTCTTGCTGAGTTGTCCAGGCTGGACTTGAACTTGATATCCTCCTGCCTCAACCTCCTGAATACCTGAGACTATAGGCGTGCATCACCATGCCTGGCAGGACCCTATTCATAATGGTTGTTTTTCCTTTAAGATTCAGTTGATTGTAACAAAAATATCTGCCTGCCTGATGGTAACTAGGGAATTTGCACTGTCTTGAGTATTTTGTAGGCCACATGCAGTAGCAAACAGGATACTTCAATCCTGATACAAGTTAGATTTGTGTCTTTAGCCAAGAGCTCCGCCCCATCGTTAGCAAGCTAGAGTGTACCCTTTGGCAGCTAGGACAAAGCAGTGTGTTGCATGACCTTTCCTCTAAAATGCTTGTTGTCTGCTCCTGTGAGCTCTTAGTGTGCACTGGGCTTCCAGCTGCAAACCCTGGGGGAGTTGGGCTTGGCTGGGTGCCTTGGCCTTTGGCTTCCTCGCCAGTACTCTCTCATGGGGGAGGGACACACACCGCACCTTCTTGTTCCCCTTGCTTCTGTGCAGCAGAGAAGAGGCAGATTGAGCGTCTCCCTCCTAGTACCTGATACAGGAGGAGGCTGGGAGCCCCCAGCTGTGCTTGCTGGAGCCCTTTTAACATGCAGGATTAGCACTAGATGGTCCAAGGAGTTCATAGCCAACTGAACATGTAGCTTGGAACAGGGGATGCTGTCTCACTGAAGGGGAGGGGAGAGCTCTTGGATGAGCTTCAGCCTTGGGTGTGAGTAGATTAGGCAGAGAAGAGGGAAGAGTACTTGGAAGGATTTTTAAGAAGGAAGTCATGTCCCTCATCAGAGGCACTAAGGGAAGAAAGTAGAATGTGTTTGGGGACAGCTGATGGGTTGTCTGGTGGAGATGGCTATCTGGATTGAAAGGCAAGCTATAGAAAAATCTGAGCACATGGTCAGTGCATGTGTTCACTTATCTATGTACCTGTCCACTAATCTACTCAGCCATCTGTCCACCTACCCGTCCAACCCACCCAGTCACCCACCTACCCAGTCGCTCAGTCACCAATCCAGTCATCCATCCACCCCCAGCCCTGCCACTCCCTGCAAGTCTCCCTCCCTCCAGTGGCTCCTGAGCTCCCACTCTGGGCAAGCCTGCCTCTGAGATTGGATAAGATGACCCTAGAAGCCCCTGAGTTCATTCCACAGCCTAACCACCCTGTAGCATTGGTGACTTGGCATTGAGCCAGTGAGAGGCAGGGTGGCCTAGCATCTTGACGCTAAGAAGCCTTCTCTGCCACCTCTGGCATGTGAGCTTGGTCCAGTGACTGGAGGTAATCCTGTCTGTACAATGGGAATAATAATGGTACATATCTCTTAGGACTAAAGGGAAATGCAATTGCGTATGGTGTGTGTAATAGAAGGGTGAAAAACAGTCTTTTGCACTGGTTGATTTGTATAAAGCACTGGAAACAGTGGCACATCATGAGCATTCCTCACCTGTTAGCTCTTAATATTACTTTTTGTGGTTATTATTGTGTAAAACACTTTAGCTGTTCTTGAGGTACACTGCTTAATACGTTGATATGAATTTCATTATTAAAAGGATGTCCAAGCCACAGATTCTGTGTCCAGATATGAGGTTACCTTTGTTAGCTTATGTGAAGACCAAGCCTTAGGAAAGAGATGTGTCTAGTAAAGGTCTAGTAAAGACCCTAAAGTGAAAGTAGGTGGATTCGTAGGCAGTGTGTACATAAGATTGCGTTTTATTGTCGTTGCTGCCCTGTGACTTAGACTCAAAGCCTACATGGTGGAGGCGCAGACTGATTAAGGCTACGGCTAGGAAATGGAGCAGCCACTGTATGAATGTGGGGTGGTGGGGCCCATGAGTGCTCATCCGGGGCCTGGGGTCCTCTTTAATTATCATACCAAGGAAATGAGAAAAAGCAGGTTGCAGATGGTGTAATTTGCTATTGAAACAGTGTAAGAGTCAACAGAAAAATGTAGGTATGATCAAGTGCAGAATTGAGATCAGTAAAAACTCAGTGTGTTGAGTCTATTGCAGTTCATATTCTACACATAACAAGTATGTGTGTAGTAAGGAAAGAATGCATAACAGCCACAAGAAATGTGAAATTTCTAGATAAGACAAAATCTATTCAAGTTTGAGCAGAAGGACAGCTGAAAATTTTAAGGACAAACTATCAAATGATCTCTTATAATTTGTTAAAGTCATATTAATTTAAACTGCAGCACTATCACAAGGGGAGACAGTTCAGTGGGATAGAAATCCGGAAACACTTGTACTTACTTGAAAATTAATTACATGTTAAGTTAGATGAAAAATATACTCATAACACGCTGTTTGAAGCAGTGACAGGTCATGTGAACAAATATAGAATTATTTGGATCACACCATATTCAAAAATAAGATCTAGGGCTGGGGATTTAGCTCAGTGGTTCTGTCAGCTGCCTTGCAAGCGCAAGGTCCTGAGTTCAATCCCTGGTACAAAAAAGAAAAAAGAAATAAAATCTAAACAGTCAGAAAGATCTAAAAGCAATAAAGAGAATTATAAAAATCCTCCAGGGAAATATTGGTGAGAGAATTTCTTTGTCTTAAGTGGCCAGAAAACCTTATTTTATTTTATTTTATTTTTTGTACTGGGGATCGAACTCGGGTCCTTGAGCTTGTGAAGCAGGTGCCAAAACCACTGAGCAAAATTCCCAGCCCCCAGAAAACCTTATTAAATGAACAAGAAAACTCAAAAGCATTGAAATAATGACATAATTTCATGAAAATTTTAAAATGTTACACAATTGAAGACATAAACACTTAAAACAACAAATGATAGGAAAAATTAGAAATATATAACATAAAAAGATTATCAGACTTAATGCAGGTAAGAAGCCACAAATGAATGGAGAATAACCAAATACAACCCAGGGCCTGGCAGGGCGTGGTCGCCTTCGCCTGTGATCCCAGCGCTCTGGGAGCCTGAGACAAAAGGATTGCAAGTTTGAGACCATCCTGGACAACATAGTGACTTATTGAATGAGACCTGTCTGAAAAACCAAATCAAAATGGGCTGGGGATTTGGCTTAGTGCAGAGGCTCTGGGTTTAATTCCTCATGCCAGAGAGAAAAACAAACAGCCACAGCATGGGGTGGAAGTGTAAGTTTGGACTGATCTGAAGCCGCATGTGCAGCATCCGTCAATACCTGAACTCACTCATGACTGAGGATTTTTGTGTCCGAGGGGTCACCCTCCCCAGTATTCTGCTGGGCACATAGGCAGCACGGAATTAAAGATCAGCAAGTTCAGAGTAGGATGCAGCAGTGACCTGTTAGGTTCCTGATCACTCAAGGATTCAGTCTAGTTCCAGTGGAGCCGTCTGTGGGGTCCTGTCGGCTTTGCAGCCACTCCCCCTCCCCGGTCACGAATCCAGTGTCTCAGTTAAGTCGGAGAACTTGAGGGGGCTTCCGCGTCTTGCCGGTGAGGCTCTGTGCCAGAAAACCCTTCTTCTGTCCTGACCTGTCTGCTCTGAAGCTTGTCAGCCTTAGCAGAATTTCCTTGTTGGCTTTCTAGGGGAAGATTTTTGTTTCTTTTTCTTTAATATCCTCCTTTGCATCTAGAAAAAATATTTTTAAGCCTGTAGATTTGCTAATAAGAGCCCATACGTTTCACAAAAATAGCTGAAATAATAAGTGTGGTTTCAGATGTCCAGTGGAACCCCAGAATAGAAGCAAGATGAATGTTCCATTCCGCATTGGTAGTGCCAAGGGAGATGATGCGCTAGAGAAAAGATTCCTCGATAAAGCACTTGAACTCAATATGATCTCCTTGAAAGGGCATAGGTAAGTGCACCTCTTATCCAGAAGCTGGCCAGAGATTTGGTTTCCCTTTTCAAATGCAGAATGAAACAAATTCAAGAGCCTAATCATCTTGGACTGATTGTGGTTCTGTAACTTTGGGGAAATCTGCTTGCCCCAGGGGTGTGCATTCCTCCCACCTACAGAGCCCGTACTGGTTCCCAGCTGTGAGGGTGGGTGGAGTCACATCATCCCTGGGGCTTTTGTCGGAAGTCAGCTGTGAAAATGTTTTAGCCAGCTCTTAGAGCACAGAGCCTGCCCTGCAGTCTGTGAGGCTGACATTAGCCGGTCCTGGTATTGGAACATTTCTGTGACGCCAGCTGAACGTCAGATAAGGATTAGCTTTGCAGACTCCACACGGTAGCTGTCCTTACGCCTGAGAGTAACTGGCAGCGAGCTGTCTGCCACCCTTGTAGACAGTGCTATTGGGCAAGCTCTGGAATGACGTGGTGAGCTGGTTAACGTCTTTATCCGACTTCTCTGCTCTTGCCCTCATCTAATTTTTTATATATCCTGAGTGAATAGTTGGAATCGATCCAGATGTGAGCATGATGGATATCATTGCATAAGGGAACCTTTTCTAATGAAAGAGTTGGAAAAGTTCTGTGCCACCTGTTAGGGGTTTTCAGGTGGAACATTGAGCACGGTGCACTTGGAACTGTTTCAGGAGCAGTGATGAGGGAAAAGATTGTGGTGATGGTAATTAGATGCTTTTGTTGTTGTTGTTGTTGTTGTTTTGTAGTGCTGGGGATGGGCCCAGGACCTCACATGCACTAGGCAAGCACTTTACCATTGAGTGACGCCCCCAGCCCAAATGCTTCTGTTCTTAATTATTTGATCTCACTTTAGGTCAGTGGGAGGCATCCGGGTCTCTCTGTACAACGCCGTCACCGTTGAAGATGTTAAGAAGCTCGCTGCCTTCATGGAAAATTTTTTGGAAATGCATCAACTGTGAACACATCCTAACTAGTTTGTACTCTGCCTTTGATCCATGATGATTAGAGTAACAGGAAATGGCTGCAGAAACATGAAGGACATGGTATTTTTTCCAAATGATCATGGTTTTTACAGATTCTTCTGTTTGCAGAGAACACAGCAAAACATCCAGAATGCTGCAAAGCTGACAGGACCACCAGCTAATGGCCACCTTAATCTTGACCTGAACTGGGAGCATTTAAAAAATTTCCCATTGCTTTTCTAATGAATTCCGGTCTAATTTTGCCTTTGCTGTTTTTTTTTCTTTTTCTTTTTTTAAGGTAGATGTCAGTATTGGAATTTTGCCTGGGACTTAATTGTGCCAGTGTCAGTTATTTCTGGAGTCACAAAAACATAGCAACGGTTTGGGGACAGAGGTGTAGTCCTAAATTGAGGCAGTGGTGGGGTCTCTTGGCTCAGAGCTGTTGGTGAAGGTCGGTGTTGACAATGTGGTGAGTGTTTAGGGTTCCAGGAAGACGGTGGACAGTAGATCTCCTTATATTGTTAGTCTCATAAGGAGATAAAATGACTTTCCGTATAAATGTTTATATACTAAGGTCTGTTTTTATATTCTTTTTTTTTTTTGGTACCGGGGATCAAAATCAGGCCCTTGCGCTTGCAAGATAGGCGCCGGAACCACTGAGCTAAATCCCTGGTCCGGAGGTCTGTTTTTAATACCATATAGTGTATACCTCTATGCTGTTATATTTCTAATAAAGCGGTTCTTTGTGATATATGTAGAGACTATTAGAATTTCTTAGGTCCCTGTCCGTGTGCTGCTTCATGCAAAGGCTCTAGAAGTTCCACAGTTCACTTTTACTCTTTTGAACATGTGGAAGAAATGGTTGGTTCTTTGCTTTTCACTTATGCCATTAAACTAAAAATCTGTTGGACTTCCTTACCTTTTGTTCACTTGGCTTGTTTTCCTTGCAGTGATTAACCAGAGTGATCCGTGAATTCCAGAAGGTCTTTGTGAAGGATCCTTCCCCTTGTTTATCTCTAGTCAGTATTTCATGTTGACTGTTGAAGAATATTAAAGTTCTTAAACACCACATTCCTTGCTAGTGAGCTTTTCTATCTTCCTTTAAGACAAATATTTATTTTTTTAAACTTGTTGCTGGAAAAACTAGAGTCTAAAAATAGCATCTGATAAGAATAATTTGATCAATTGAAGACTTGAATTTTGTGCAAGTATTTTTTTAAAAGTTCACGGCAGTGTGGAAGCTTTCCATTTGCTTTTTAACAGATGTTTTCAGCAAACTGCATTCCCATGCTCATAGTTTAAAGTTCAGTGAACTCTGTCCACCTTCCCCAGAAACCTGGTGATGGGACAGTTTTGCGCCATCTTGCTGTTATGTCTGGTTGTGTAATGAGGACTCAACTGATTTCTCATCCTGTCTCTGTGCTGATGAGTTGAATTCCCTGGTCAGCTCTTGACCTCCCAGGCTTAACTCTCTCATCCATAAAAGGAAAGTTAAAGTAACTCTCTCATTCTCCTCAGGGTTGATTAAGGGTTTAAAGCCAGGGCTTGACACAAGATGTGAAGAGTAATCACAGTAAATCCAGCCAAAAGCCAGCCAGTCCATGAGATCTAACTGCGTGTCCACGTATCCACCCCTCCTTCCTCGAGTGTGATTGCAGATCTGTGGTCCTTACCAGCCCCACTTTTCTCGACATTTTTTGAATCTCCATTCACATTGTCAGGGCCAGCTGTTGTGTGTCAGCCCTGTGTGAATGGTTAATCTCTGCCCATCCATCCCTCCCACCATAGCCAGCTGGACTACTCCCTTGTGCCCCTGTGGTCGGAAAAAGAGGTGAATGTTTACATAAAACTGCAGTGAAGGACGTTGTCATAAACTCCTATCAGTGTACATGCACACGCACGTGCACATACCTGGCGTCGAATGTACACCCCAGTTCTGGAAGTCCTCTTAGGTAAGCGTCTTCAGTTGGCTGTTGGGGCTGTTTTGATGTCTCAGGTCACTTCATAACACCGTGCATATCTGGTGAACAAGGTGGATGAGGACACCATGTTCTTATGCACTTGCCTTTGTTGGATGGCCCTTGGCATTTTGATCACTCATGAAAGGACTTTGCTTCAGAAAATGACAGGAATGATACGATAAGTGTTTGGAGGGAGAATATCGTGAAGGTGAGTAATGGCAGTAGTATGTCTTTTATTGTAATATGTTTTAAAACTTAAATATTTACTGTAAATTAGGATCATGCTTTCTACTTATCTCCTGTATTAATGGTTCTGTTGCAGAATTCCAAGAGACAGGAGAGACCAGTGGTATTTAGGAGGATTTATTTCAGGTTTAAGGTGTACACCAGTTCAACGGACTCTTGTTCAAAGGAACAGTATTAAGAAAGAGAAGTAGCTTTCATACATTTGATCAAAGGAGGGGGTCATCTTTCTAGTGACATGAAATGGTGGGTGGGTTAGCGAGGTTACAGAGGCAAATAAGCTAGTTAGAAAAAGCTAGTTAGTCACATCTCACATGATGACAGTTTTATTCTCTGAATTGTGAGAACAGCGTCACAAACTTTGTTTACAGGACATATTTCCTAATCCAATCTGTATCTTTTGAGGGGCATACAGTTCCTTAAAGGTTGCAAAGACTCCATTTACAGGAGTGTAACCGTCTGCCTTATTAGTAGTACCAGAGCGGGAGGCTAGCCTTGAAGGCAGACAGATTCCTGAGAAGTTAGGTCAGCAGTGTAGGGTACTCTGTTAGCAAGGAACTTTTTTTTTTTTTTTTTTTTTTTGCTACTGGCGATCGAATTCAGGTCCCTGCACTTGTGAGGCAGGTGTCGGAACCACTTAGCTAAATCCCCAGCCCAAGAATCTTGTTGTTTAACTTATCTGTAGCAGAACAAGGAGCTACAGCTATGGAAGGGGGTGGGTGATCTGAGGTGGGGGCTGTCTAGGGCTTGTTTTTTAAGTCCTGCTTCAGTTCTTGGGAGGTGGCTGGCCTTTGACCACGCTGTGACACCGTTTTAAGCCTGGAGTTCCTTTCCCCACTCAGATCGGCAAGCCTTCCAAAATGTTTGCCAGCCTCCCAGCCTTATTTGTGCGCCTCTTTAACAGTGTTGGCCTTTTGCTTTTTTTGTTCTTTTTATTCTATCAGAGCACCTCTGCTCAGTTCTTCATCCTGCTGAGGTGGCTGAGGTGGCTGAGGGAAGGACCTGTGGTCCTCACCTGCCTTGCCCTTAGGAGGCCCTCAATACAGTAATTGCTTAATGACTGGGAAGTCCTAATGTAGGTCTTCCTGAGGATGCAAACTGAGTATGGAGTAATAAAGTCAGAGATACGATCTTGACTGTGGATTTTTCTTAAATTTTCAAAAGTTTAGCATGCAGTACGGGTTTATCTTCTTTTACAATGGTCCAGTATGATTTCCATGGTCATCTAAGGACGTTAAAAATATTAGAGGTTCCTTAGAACTATAAATCTGAAAGCTTTTGGAAAATGGGCAACAGCTGACTACAGGCACAAGGGACCACTTGTCCGGCCACGGTGAAGTTCCGGATCACAGACTTCCAGAAAAAAATGTGAAACTTGACCTTTGTGTGTCTCAAGGAGTGAACTAATGTCTGTGTGGGAGAGGGGCAGGGAGACAAGGGTGCAGGTTCCTGCCAGCGGGTCTGTCACTGAAGAAAAAGGCCAGGTAGATGAATAGGAGGCTGGGGTGGGCGTGGGGCTGCCTCCTTTTTCTTGGGATCCTCTAAATTGTACTTCTTTCCCAGAATGAATCTGTCTTTCTCTCAGAATTCCTTACAATACTTACTCATTCTAATGCCATCTCAGTAAAATTTGTTGCCGTGTTTATTTACCTCCACACACCCCTTTGTCTTTAATTTAGTAAGTCTCCAATTTAGGAATGAGTTCCATTCTGGGAGAACATCCAAGTTGGATTTGTACATAACCGGACACTGAGTTAGACAGTACACCTGTGAGTCTTACCCGTTATGCCAGTGGAAGTTAGCAACTCGGATGTTCGTAAGTTAGGGTCTTACTGTGTTGTATTTCTCTGAACAAGAAGCAAAATTGGGTTCTATTCCTAATTCCTCATTCTCCTGCTGAATCTTCATGGAAATACTTAATGCCATTTCATCATAACCCAGTATAGGACACTGGAGAGTCAGGCCTGCTTTTGGGTGAGCTTCTGTGAGGCAACAGGTAATTACCCCTTTTCTCCCTTTTAAAGCCAAATGAGCCCCTGAGACCCTAAAAGTAGACATGACCCACTGATAGATTAGACGTCTAGTTCTGCCAAAGGCATTACCGGGTCTGGTCTCGTATCACTGATTGATGTTTGCTGTATCATGTTTCTTTGGAAGGCAAAATGAGGAAGAGTCCTTTCACATTTCATCTGACTGAGCACAATTAAAACTTGAGATGCTACTGAGTTTGTGAAGAAATCAGTCACTTTAATTAGAAAAATGGTTCCTTCCCTCAGTCTATAATTGGGCTCTTGGTAATTTAAAAATTGGAATCCCTGACAGTTTGTGATAAATTGGTTCCTTTTGGTCTAAAGCAGGTAACAAGTTCTAATTACCTCTGTGTTATGCCAGAGTGGATGGGTAATCTTTTTTTCTTTTCCCTTTGTCCCTTCCTTTCTCCCTTACCGCTTCCCTGTACCCCTTCCCATTTGACTGGATGGTTTTTTTTTTTTTTTTTTTTTTTTTTTTGATACCACGGGTTGAACTCAGGACCTTGTGCTTGTGAGGCAGGTGGCAGCACCACTGAGCTAAATTCCTGGCCCTTGATCCAAGAGATACTGGGAAAGAGAAAAGCTAAAATGAACAAAGATTTATTGAAATTTCCAAAGGAAGCTAAAGCTTAAAAATATACTTTGATATGACAGAAACAGGAGCTTGCATATTTTATAGGTTTTTTTGTTTTGTTTTGTTTTGTTTTGTTTTGTTTTTGTGGTACTGGGGATCGAACTTGGGTCCTTGCACTTGTGAGGCAGCCACCGGAACCACTGAGCCAAATCCCCAGCCCAAGCTTGCATATTTTAAA